TTTAAATGGGGGTTGATTTGAGGGACCTTCAGAAAGTTTGTGGCCAGATGGAATGAAGAGATTATGGATTGCTCTCCACCAATTTTTGAAGCCCCTCTATTGGTATGTGATTTTATCTCAAATGAGTCGAGAGCAAAAACAACAATGGAGACAGAGACTGTGGAGAGAGTTAGATAGAGAGAAAGAAGAAAAGCAAGTGGGAGAGGAGGCAGAGGTTCGAGGCTGGATGAGCTGGGGTCTAGCCATGACTGTCCCCGTAACCTTGACTTCCGTCTGGAGTTGGGTTCTGTGTCTGCAGACAGAGTATCGCTGGCCCTTTTTGTGGCTTTCCACTGTGTGCGGTGAGCCCCTTGGTAGGGCCTGTTTCCTTGTTCATTCCGGCCTCTTTAGGGAGAGGGGGCTCGCGATTGAGTCGTGCGCTGAACCAGAGAGGTGTGGGTCTGGTGGAGCCTGAAGACTACATGCGGGGGTCTGTGGACAGCATTGTACAGGTGGCCTTCATAGCAGATGGGGAGAACAGGGGTCTGGGGTGATGCCAGTGGGAAGCGAGCCCTATGTTAGGAAGATGGAGAACCGAGGATGCAGACAGTTGTGTGCATGTGGATGTAGAGTGATGGAGACTCGAGGCAGGCTGGAGGGGTCATCAGCAGGGCAGCTCTTCCTGGGGGTGAAGAGCAGTGTCCATACACACCACCCATGGACACTGTGGTCCCCACCTTGAGCAAATCCCAGAGTCCCCTGCAGAGCAGTTTAACCCCAGATGGCGGCCTCACGGGCAGGCGGCTGACGCAGGCCTGCATTTCTAACAAGGCTTAGAGGAGCTGGGGCTGCGGCTGGTCCGTCCTCACCAGGCTTCAGTCCAGGGAGCTGTGCTCCTCCTGTGCTGCCCAGCTGACAGGTGGGCAGGGAGTGTGTGTGCGCAATGCATGCCGGCCTGGAACGGACACCCTGCTCACCCACCCAGTGCGGCCGGACCCCCTGGGACCAGGGTTCCTTTAAAAGAACACGTGCAGCGTCCGAACGTCCTCATCCACGTTAACCGCACTGTCTTAATTTGCTTTATTTTGGGGTTGGCATAGCATATTCTTTTTATATAAGTGTGAACGTATATATGTAAATATATGTATGATGTTGGTGAATTAATGTGTACGGTATTTTTACTAAGCAAAAATGTGGGAACCAAATAGTAGCCCCTTCAGGGAGTTTCCATGTCTCGCCGGCGCTGGGGGGGGGGGGGCGTGATTAGGAGAGGTGGGGGTCCTGCTCAGGGTTTCTGGAGGGGGCGGCCCCCTTCTGGAGGAGGACTTGGTCTTGTTGGGAGACACTCATACTCACAAAGGCCTGTTTAGTAGGAAAAGCAAGATCTGGTGGGGAAGGGAGTGGCATGTCCCTGCCCCAGCCCCAGTCCCAGCCCACCACACCAGCTTAGGGGATGGCCAGTAGCAGAGCCTCCAGCCACAAGAACAGAGCTGAGATGTCCTGAGGCTGGTCACCTGCCCTGACCCCAGTGTCCCTGGGAGTGGACAGGCCAGCTGGCAGTCATCTTGTCTTCCCTCCCCCATTTGGGTGGTGATGGCGCAGAGATGTGGCAAGGAGGAGGGTGTCCATGTTCCAATGAGCAGGTGCTGAACAGGCGGGCACCGGGGCAGAACCAGGCGTGGGCTGGTACACTTGTGCCCAAATGTAGCCGCAGGCCGACACTTGGATCGCAGACAGACGTTCACAGCGCTCTAATTGGAGGAGTTAAACTCGCTAGGTTAGAAACCACAGACTCAGTGGCCTCCACATTTCCCAGTAGCTTTCTCCGCGCGCAGGCGCAGTTTAGCCCCAGACCGGAAGGGCGGGGCCGGCAGGGAGAAGATCAAGGCAAATCCGGGGTAAGTAAAGATAGTCGTTCGTGGAGCCGGTACGAGAAGAGAAGGGGGTGGTGGGAACCGAAACCAAACCGAACCAGACAGGAGGCCCTCGACGAGTCCCGACCGACCGACCGACCGACCGACCGACGGGGTTTCGCTGGTCGACCCCGTGACTCTTTCTTCCGGAGGGTCGGGCATGTGGCAGGCTGCACGCTTCCTCCCAAAGCCTCGAACTGTTCCTCCACAACCATCCATAGCTCCCCGTTGCCCCCAGCAGCATCCAAAGCTCCTCCATGTTCCCGAGCTGGCCTGCCCAGCTTCTGCCCCTTCCGTCGGCCATGTCCATGCTGAGACACATAGGTCCCCATCTCCATGGATGGGTTCCTTCTTCTGGCCCCAAACCCCGTTGGGTGTGAAGTTCACCTTATTTGTCAACAGAGTGAGAAATGCTGAGACCTACTGAGCTGGACGGCAAAGTCATTTGAACTTCATGGTCGGCGGTTCAAGCTCACCAGTTGCTCCTCGGAAACCCTATAGAGGGTGGCTATGGGTCTGCAGCAGTATCCCACCTCTTGATCTGTCTAGGGGGGACATGGCCTCCTCCAGCCCCTCTTTCTATCCTGCTCCGAGGAAACGTCTGAGGAAAGCAGAGAAGTCTTCAGTCCAGGGTCCAGAATGGCTGGCCCTCTCTGGAGCCATGGTTTGATCTTACCTAAAACGTGCTGTGACCTTTCTTGCCCTGGCCGCTAGGGGGCTCAGAGTCAGCTCAGCATCCAGGGGCTTTTGGAGGCCCTTCAAACAACAGCTCCTTCACGTTGCCATGCCCTTGATTTCCTTGTGAAGTGAAACCACCGCACAAGCAGTTCACCTTTTGAAGACATACATGTACTGGAAGGACCAAGCCTGGCCTGCATGTGTAAAGCACAGACCTCAAGTCTGACCACCAGGACTCACAGCTTCCGGGAAGCACATGTTTGTCCAGCACAGGCCGTGATGGCCCACCATCCCATGCCGGTGGACTAGGAGCCCGTGGATCTCTGAGGGCGCTGTGTTCATCCTTCTTTCCAGCAAGACAAAGGATTCTCCTGTCAGGGCAGTCTGCACTAGGAACAGTGGGAGCAGCTGGAGCCCATGAGGACAGGAAGAGAGGGTTACCTCCACCTTCAAAATCCCGCAGGACCTGGGGAGGGAGAGGGCTTCCTGGGCGGTCATGGGAATCTTCTGGAAGGCTGTGAGGTTGTGGTACAGCCCTGTGAACCCGCTGTGCACACTTTATGTGATGTGATTCTCATCTCAGTTTTAAAAGGGGGAACCCATCCAGAAACGCACTGTCGCCGATGTTGATTCTGTCCAGACAGACAAGGCTGGGGGAGGCGGGGGTTTCCTCATGAGAGACGGGAATGTTCTAGCATTGACCAGGACAGATCTGAATGGCGTCTGTAAGTGGGTGAATTGTGTGGTGTGTGAATGCATTTCAACCAAGCTGTTCGCCCTACAAAACAAACACCCAGAACGTTCCGGATCGAGGCCCATCTTGTCAGCAGGCGGTGTGCTCAGAGCTGCCTGCAGGGTCTGGGGCTGAGGCTGAGGGCCCACTTCTGTAGAGGAAGCCCCTCTGAGCCTTCTGCTTGGCCGGGGTGTGCTGGCCACCTGGAGCCCAGCATCAGGCCTGGGAAGGCTTGAGTCCCAACGATGCCATCACCACCTCTCAAGTTTCTGGGGCTGAGGGTGGGTGCCCTCCTCCATCCTGGATGCAGCGCAGGGGTCCACCTTGACAAAAGGGTGATTGACAAGAATGCTCAGTTTCCCTAGTGGGTTTCAGCTCCAGGCTGGGAGCAGCTTGGGTTCCAGAGTCATGATCTCGGCTGCTTGGAAAGGAGCCCCACTTGTCCTAGGAGTGGGTGGGTTGTTGTGACTTGGTTTCCCCAGGACCTGGGGTGACTGTAAGCCTCCGGGGAGGGAAGGACAGACATGCAGGCAGGAGGGATGCATGTGCCTGTGTTGAGGGCCACTCCGGTCTGGCAGCTTCGTTTGTCTGCAAGCATCTGATGTCTTCTGGAATCTCCTGGAAGGGGCCCTAGTGGCCCAGTGGTTAAAGCACACTCAACCCAAAGGCTGGTGGTTTGAACCCAGCAGATGGTCCACAACAAAGATGAGGCTGTGTTTTTCTGTAAAGAGGCCAGCCCCAGGGAGCTGTAGGGATCGACTCTGTGCTCGAGGGTCTCTCTGGGTCGGAATCGATGAGCCAGCAGTCAGGCTAGTTTTGTTTGGAGCCTGCTGGCCAGGGTTGTGGGACGGTCCAGCACTGAGCCCATCTGGGGCCTGGATTCTCTCAGGCCCGGGAAGGGGTACTTGTAGGGACACGCATTCTTCAGTGCCCCATGAACACACAAGGTGCATGTCCCGGGCTCGACTTGACAGGAAGCAGGTGTGGCAGGATCTTGAGGCCTCTCCTGCCCTGGCTGCCCTGCTGTCCACACGGGAATGGTGGGGGAATTGTTCCCACGACTTCAGGGAAGGTGCTGCTGAGGTGAAGTGGGAAGGCAGATCACTGGCTGACCAGGAGTCCAAGTGCCCGTGATGGATGCTGGACTCTAAACTTGTGACTCAGGGTGGGGACAGCCTTGCCTCTCCTCCTGTCCCCCGGGAACGAGCAGGGCCGGCTAGAGCATCAGCTGGAGAGGGGGTCCTGCGTGTGGTGGGAACCAGTCTGACCCTTCCAGAGGTTCCAGCTGAGCATCTTGGCTGATGTCCACCAAGAGTTCCCAGCTGGGACCGATAATGCAAGCTGGTTCCACAGTGGGCCAAGGGGCAGAGCCTTTGAGACCCCATGAGTGGCCTCGTATCCATGGGTCACACCCTCCACCCCCTGGATGGGGTGAACTCTGAGTAACACCTGCTCATGACTGGCCCTGAGGTCAGTCTGCACTTTGGTCCTTTCCTTGTCCGCAGGTCCCCTTCAGCAGATGGGAGGTCAGCTCCCATGTAGCAAGGGTTGGGGGGTTTCCATCGAGCCTGCAAGTTGGGTCTGCTGAGTTGGGGGGCTGGCCACTGAGCATGGACTGTACCCCTGAAGTTGACCTGCCCTCGGGTCTGTTATCAGGAGTCCTGATGTCCACCCGCTGTCCTCCCTCCCTCCCCCAGGACCTCCCACTCGCGGGCCAAGGCTGAGTCGGCGCTCACAGCTGCTCAGAAGGCTCAGGAGGAAGCTCGGATCGCCAGGATCACCGCCAAAGAGTTCTCCCCCTCCTCCCAGCACAGAGAAAACGGTGAGTCTGTGCCGGGGGGCCCTCTCACATCCTGGGGGGCACGCACTTCCCACCCGCTTCCCACCACCCGGAGCCGTGGACTCTTCTTGTTCCTGGGCCATCATCACTCCCTGCTTCCTGCCAGCGTCATTGTGGAACTTTCTGTCCGCCCTGTCCACGACCCAGGCTCCTAGCCACAAGGGGAAGGTGAACAGTCTTTTGTTTGACTCACCATTAATGAAGCTGCATTTCCGTGTCAGCCACAACCTGTGGCTAGTGTTGGGTAGTGCAGCCCTGGGCCTGAGAGCTGTGGAAGGAACCAGAAGCCACTGCAAGTCAGCTGCCACATCGATGAAGCAGGGGACGGGGCTGAGACTCTGTCATGGCTCCCATGAACAGGCACTTGGATGGGTCTGGGGTGGTGTTGGGAAGGACAGGTCACGTTGTCTAGAGTCCCCACCCACACTGTCTACCTGGCCCCTGGGTGTATCTGTGTTGGAAAGTCCACTCCAGGCACCCAGGAGATGGAGGAGGGGGTCCTGGGCTTTAGAAGCAGAACCTGGCGCTTGGTCAGGCCCTAGGGTGTAAAGAACCCACATTGGTTGGAAGTTGCCCGTGGGTGCTCTGAGACCTCGTCTGTGAGGGGGCATCCTTGACCACAGAGTGGTCTTCCCTGCCCTTTGTGGGGGCCTTTGCCTCCAGCTTAGAGTTTTATTTCCTCTTTGCCAATTTGGATATCTTTAATTTCCCTGTCATGCCGTATAGCTCTTGCTAAGACTTCTAGCAATTTTGAATTGGAGCGGTGACAGAGGGCATCCTTGTCTGGTTCCTGTTCGCAGAGGGAAGGCTTTCAATTTCTCTCCATTGAGAGTAATGTAGGCTGTTGGTTTTGTATATATGCTATTTATTATGTTGAGGAATTTCCCTTCAATTTCTATTTTGTTGAGTGTTTT